TTTTTTACACGTAAGTGTTTTTTGGGGGATATCACAAGTTTTTGTTGTTCAACGGGACATAGAAGCTCTAAGCACTGAAATCTGTATTTTCATAGATATAAAATGTAAATGCATTATGATGTCGTTAATCACAAAAATATATTGCGTCGTCGAAAATGTTTAATGGCATATAAATATAATTTGTAAGTCAATTTTTTTTAGAAATGCATAAAGATATATACAAATTTTTAAAGAAGATGTAATCTTCAGTGCATATAAGCGTGGTTAATGGTGTCCAGCTTGTTGAAGCCGTGTGGTAAGCGTAAGAGAGGAAAGTGTGCTGGATTATTTACGTACCTCAGGCCGTGCGAACAACAGAGAGGATACTATTGTTTGAGCGAAGCGCCAAAGCGTCGCTCGTTGCACACTTTTCTGGACACTCTAGACTTCTACGTCCGACACCTAGATACAAGAAACTACAGAGCGGAACACCTGGACACCCTGAACTTCCACATCCGACACCTAGATACAGAAAACTACGAAGCGGAATACCTGGAAACCCTGGACTTCCACATCCAGTACCTAGATACAGCCGGTTGCCTGTACTTGGCGCGAGACTCGACCGAGTCTCTTGATATTTAAAGTATTGATACACTCGATTTACTATACTTGAACCGTTCATTTCCTTATTTGACTAATTATCAGACATTTATTAATCAAGTTCAACCTAATTTGTGTTCGTTATTATTTAACGCCTAGGGCATGTAAATAATTTTGTATTACCGTAAAGTTATCGTTATTACAAATGCATCCACGCTAACAAGTATATGTATAATTGCCGTTAATAATTGATTCATTGGTCATTGATTGACCTTGAAATACAGGCTGGGGGGGTTAACTGAATGATACCGCAACCCTAATGTATTAAATTCCACTGATTATTGTGAGTAAATTTTTTTCCAATGTGTTGCGGGAATCTTGATGTACTGTTCTCATGAGAGAATCAGATAACTGCTGGCGTTTGTATAGCAACCTTACTACCTGAAGGTATCTATATATATTTCGCGCTTAAAAATAATAAGATCCATACGAAAAATTATGTAACACAAATTTGTAAAGCAGATATGAAAAAATGTCAATTAAAAATTGAATAATTTTAAAGCACTTTGTTCCGTTTTCTAAATTATCTTTTTGTTCAGAATGTACCGATTACGTAGGTGTAGCATGTTTATAAAAGTATCGAATTTTCTGTGTCTTTTGATTAAATAATTCTAAGTGATTTAGTCTGTAGATATTTTTTTTGTAGTTTCATATGAAATCCTGTTGTTTCAAGTTTATATTATGTTTTCAGTAAGAAAATTATAGTTATAATTAATATTATTCCTGTGATTTATCAAACTTCAAGATTGCTTATTAATATATTGTACAATTTTATATATAATCTTTATAGGTATCGCCCAGATTATATGTGTTCACATTGTGAAATATTAAATAGATGCTTTTTGGATTTCACAATATATAGGTATATCTAAATTCATCATTTATATGAGCATTGGCCTGCTTCCAATATTCCTATAGGCAACTGGATCCTTTCAAGTTCTCCAATTTCACCAGGGAGATTTGCATATTCATTCAAATTGCCTCCATCCTGAAGGATAGAATCCCGCTGACAAATATATGAAAACTTGGCAATATGGCTGACCGAATATATGTACAGTTTCTACAAAATATATATACATATATAACTGTTTCAGTTCTAAATGAAAGATTCGATCGATCGAATTACATAGATCGATTAAATTATACTGAACATATAGATATAGTAGTACAAGTGTTAAATGATTAAACTATAGTCGCGGTGTCAATGAAAAAGTTAAAAATAATATAAAAATATATATACACACTCGTGGGGTCGATTTTTCATAAATTGCATCTATTTTATACATATATATAAAAATTCATTTGTAAAAGTATGGCAATCCAGAATTAATTTAATATACCATATATAATACAATAATATTGAAACTTGCAAATAACTTTTTTCTGTGTATTTTCAAGCAATCGCAACTTTATTAAATTTTGTTAATGAAGAAATTTAGGAGTAAACGTATAGGAGATGCAAGAAGTTTCGTATTCGTAATTTCAGTCTCTTTGACAGCTGTCAGGAGCAGTGAGTAAACGACGGAACTTTAAAACGATACTTGTCGTTTAGAAATTCGAGCTAAGCAAACAAGAAGATTTAAAGTATCGCTGAGGAAAATGTTATATTGGACGAAATTTTGTGAAGTTTTTATGTGATTTGTCGCCGGAATAGATTTTTAATAAATGTCCTTAATTTTAACATAAATCATGTCTTTGATAACATTAATCACTGTTTCATAGGTATTAGGTACGTGTACCATAACCTTAAAATGGAAAATTAACGATTACACGAATTTGATAAGCGACCTTTATGCAAGTGGAGATCACTAAATAGTTAAATGATACTTTTATAAAAAAAATGGCAAAGTAGCAGGAGGCTAGTGTAATTTTGTGTTGTAAAATTTTACATACGTTTGACAATACGTTGACAATATTGTATCGTTGGTATGGCGATTGAACATTAAAAAGTGTATGCTTATTTCACTTTAACGAAGATAACGTATAAATATCGTGTAATTTTAGAAAATAGAGATTTAGAGGTTAGCAGGCAAGCTTCGTAGATGACCTAATTTTTATTAGTTTTTACGTAATAAATGAATATCGAGGATTTTCAAACTTTGTCTTTTATCTTCTTCATTTTTTATTCTATTTTATTTGTCGATCTCTTTCTTAATTTATTTTACCAGATATATATTTATATATTTTTTTTTTCATTCACTGCTTCATTTTGTATTCGGTTCAGACTGAATTAATTTGTAAACATTTAACTCTGTCTATTTTTCAAACTTTATATTTCGAACTTTTCTTGTTGCTTCCTCGTAGAGGAAGCTATGTGACAGTGGAAAATCTTTCTTTCGAGATTTTCATGTCACTATGTCCAAAATGTGCCAAAACGTCGAGAAAACACGTTTGGAGAAAATTTCCGGATGTGTGTGTGTATGTATAATGGCCTCCCAAAATTCAAACGTGTATAACTCGAGAACGGTTTTAGCTACAGCCCTAAAATTTTGCAGACATGTGCAGCTCTATAATCCTTTCATTGACTATAATTTTCGTAATGATGCAAGCTGCAGCTCGGATTTTATGTCGTTTTCAAATTCCCAAAAAAAGGACGTTATCACTTTAGCGATCGCAAATTTTGTGATACTCGTCTAAATAGTTTTTGACGAAGAGATTCATATCGAAGGTTGGTTGGTATCGCATTGGGCCGAATCCATCGAGAACTTTTGATTTTACGATATTTTGAATTTTTCGAAAAATCAAATTTATCGATATAACTCCCGTCAACTTTGACCGATTAAGCTCTAACTTTCCAAAAGTATAGAAGTATACTTTCCATAAGTGTAGAACATCATTCAGCCGTGATATGTATCAAATTTGGCGGAGATCGGCAAAACAGATCTGATTCTACTTATATTCAAGTTTTTGAATTTTGATGTCCCCATATGAGGAAGCCAAGGATTTAAATTTTGCAATTTGCTCCCTCTGAATCGTCGGCAGTAAATGAAGATTCATCTATGAGGAAGCCAAAGATATTAAAAAAAATGAAAATGCTTCCTCATATAAGGACTTCGTACACTATCTACAATTCGAAGGAAGCAAATTGCAAGTTTGAACTTGCGGCTTGGTTTTTTTGTGATAAATAAGACACATATTTTTCACAAGGGATGATTCTGCGTTCTCCCTGCTACGCTTTTCCACATGTTCCCGTAAAAAAATTAATTCAGTTCAGTTGGTAGTTGTTCATTTCTTTCATTCATTCGTGGCAGTTGTTCACATCTACGGATCTTACTATTTCATCTATATCTGAAAATTAATGTTTCTCATCATCAATTCAGTCTCTTTACTCCAATTTTAGATATACGCTCACGTATGCATACGCCTATTTTCTAAGACAGCGAGTTGGATCCTAGGTCGTATATAAAAAAGAATATCGTTTGGGTAGTCAAAAATTCGGAATGAACTGAACACAATGAATATTATAACTTAGCAACGATTTAGGTCTAGATTATGAGGATAGTCAAGTAGACAGATATTATTTATCTCTGAAGTCTCGATTTACCCTTATTTAACTTATTTAACAAACATTCGTCCCATTAAACATCGTTCAAAGACTAAAAAGTATTAAGTATTAAATTTTTGCAATTTTTTAAGAAAGAGGACACGTAGGTACATTGAGAAAACTATAGTTTATCATAAATTCATAATGATCTAAAAGTATACTAGTATGCTAGTATACTTTTACACTATACTATACTAGTGTACTTTTAAAGTATACTACTATACTGTTCGTCGGTATGTGAATTTTTTCCATAATCTTCATGTGTCTTCGCAATGCCATATGCTGTGTATGTACGTAATACTCGTTTACCGGGATACATATGTATATACATACAGGGTGTCCCAGAATTGCTTTTGGACCGGAAAGTGAGCGATGGCTGGAGGTGCCCTGAGAGCCCTCCCGCAAACCGTTTGCAAAAATTCGCAATGGTTTTTAAATGAGAAGCATTTAAATGGGACCAATCAGAACGAAGGATTTCCGCGGGTCATAGCAACGTGGTGCTTCCTAAATAATTCTAATATTATTATTTATATTGTACTACATTTACATATCACAGACACAAATATGCGCAAAGTAAATGGAAGCTTCTATGGTAGAAGAATAGTCACGTGATGAGTTTGAACCTATTTAACACAATTTAACAACAATATTATTTAAACAAAAACGTACGCTCACGTTTCATTTAAAAACTATTGCGAATTTTTGCAAACGGTTTGCGGGACGGTTCTCAGGGCACCTCCAGCCATCGCTCACTTTTCGGTCCAAAAGCAATTCTGGGACACCCTGTATATGCACGTTCTACTTTTCCAGTGACTAATATTTAAGTCACGAACCCTTCATGACTCAATCGTATTCTTCCTCACGATAATGTTGCAGCACATACTACGTGTTAACTGAGAGTCAACCACCTAATGTCTAACTAACCTCAAAAATGAATATACAGAACATCGAATATGTTTTGCGAAATTTCTTTTTACTTTAATATTTAAAATATTTAGTAAAGTTTCTCAGTTTTTTTTCTCGCATCACTGAGAATCGGGTATTGGTCCATGAATCCGTTACGTATTGTTAACAATAGAATATTTGTATTGAAAAAAAGGTCATTTATTAAATATATATTAAAGGAGTTAGTTTGGTGTGAGAAATTTGCACAGGACTAACGCAAAATATCCGAACAATCACAAAAGTACGTAGACAATCAAAATTGCGCAGATACTTACGCTCGATAGTAACACGGCAATTTGAGTTTTGTTACCGAAAAGAAAATTTGCTGAAAAAATAGCTGGGCGTCTATTAATTATCCTTTGTGGCGGTGACGTCACTTCCTCTTCTCCAGTTACTTTCTGCGTCGTGACCGAAACTACAGCTTGCGCGTTTTGTGTCGTCTGAAAAATTTCAAGGATCCTTTTAGAGATGAATCTGTACATTAGAATTTTTGCATAGAAAATCCTATTTTGTATTATGGAAACTTCTTTATTTCTCCAAGCACAAGTAGGACTGCGAAAGAACTTTTGCGAAGTGTTTGAAAACTTTTTGCGTGTTATATTTTACGATTGAAAGTTTCACGTATCTATGGAACGAGAAGATGTTTCTGAACGGATATATTGCTATAGAATTAATAAGAATTTCTCAGACTCAGGCGGTTCTGATTAAATTATTGAAATTTTTTATATTCCGTGACCATGTATGTAAATGGAGTATCAAAGTCATATATGAGCCGCTCAGTGCACACATCGATTAACTCCACTTTTTGAAAAATCTTAAATTTAAGTGTGAAAGCACTTGGTATAGTCATAACTTTTTATATTTATAATAACTTTCCTGAATAATAAAGATTAGCACCATTAAACGGCACAATTTTTTTGGCCATTGAATAATAAGTAATTTAGAATATACATTACTTCATCGCATTTCTCAACTTTTTGTTTTATGGAGTTAATCGATGTGTGCACTGAACGGCTCAAATATCAATAGCATACATGGTCTTAATTCACTTGTTTCCATGACACATTATCAAATCATGAGGTGATTTTGCTGCATTTTTAATATTGCATAATATTAGCACCTGAACCGTAAGAAATCTCGTTAGTTTCGCTTATGTGATTATTTACATTTAGTTCGCCATTTAATTGTGCAATAGAAGTACGTGATAACGAAATTCCAGTATTTTCATTGACGAAGGCATTTTTAAAATCTTCTATCCCCGTAATTTGATTTTCGAGGCATATTTTAATACAGTTCACAATGTCACAAATATACGTTGTTTTAAGGAGCGTATAAGTAAAGTGAATATTTACTAAAAATATTATTTAAACAAATGTAATCTTTCCAGAATTTCGAATTGCTATTTCTGAACTTTATATTGGATTGGCTTAAAAGTAATGAGACACTCTAGAAAACTCTACATATGTTCTTTTTTAAATTAATTGTTTTTGACCATCTTCTATTGTATACACCCACAGAGCGGAAGTATCTAGAATGTTCTACAACATACTAAAATATAGTGAAAAACAATTAATTTAAAAAAGGACATGTGTCGAATTTCCTAGAGTGTCTCATTACTTTCATGCCAACCAAATATATAAAAAAAAAATCCATTTAGAATTATGCATTTAGAAAAAGATACGTACTGGGATTTCTGTGTTGGCACAGACTTTCTTCGAATTAGAACTCGATGTAAGACTAAAAGGTTTGAGTCTTTGTTCTTTAGAATCCCGAAGGTCTTTCAGAGTCCTTGAAGAAGCCGGAAGTTCTGATAGCGGAATCACTTGGTCGTCGAAAGAACTGAGATCCACATTAACAAAGCTGCCATTGGTCGTTTCAGGATCAACATACAATACGTCGGATATCGGTTCAATGCATTCTGGTGTAAATGGCGGCGCATCCGGTCGTAATTTCGTTTCCGCGTATTTGAATGGCGGAGCTTTAGATTCCACGATTTCCGTTATCTAACGACAAGTAACGCAAACGCGTTTAAATGTGGATAAAAATTGTATTTAACAAGTATATCTCGATTTGTGACACAAAATTTCGTTTTTTTTTTCTTCTATACGACCAGAAACTAAGAAATAGTTGATAGGTACAATATTTGCTTCATGTACAATAACTGCAATACAATTGCTTTAGGATAAAGGTCACAGAATAACAATGTTAAATGGTTAGTGCTGGAATTTTATAAAGGTCAAATGGCTAAGGAATCAAACAGTGAAAAATAATAGTCATAGAAAAGTGGATCATCGAGATCAAAGGGTAGAAACAATGTGAATATCTGAATAGGATCAGGGTATGGAAGATCAATAAATACATACATCATTACGTTCTGATCGACACTATATGACAATCGATACAGAAATATTATTTTTCCTTTAACAAAATAGTGTTAATTGATATGTAAGAGATCAATTACTTCTGTAAGATTATCGTCCTCCTGCGATATCAATTCTGTAATTAGTATCTTGGTAGTGTCTTCCGGTTCACCTATTGGTCTTTCAATATCATCCTTGACTTGATTCTTAACGTCATCTGAATACACAAGGTCTTTCGTGTCTTTGAAATTTTGCTCCAAGTCCTTTAAGTTCTTTTCAAGGTCGTTTAAGTTTCCAGAATTTTGCATCATTTTCAACTGATGATTTTCTATGTCACGGTTTGCAATCATTTTTTTTACACGTTTATCACCTGAGACTCTCCACAGGGATCAACACAAGCCTGCTGCGTCACTTCAGCTTATTACCACTGCCTAAAGAATTTTTGTATTGTCTATTGTTGATATATGCGAAATTTTTTTTTCGACAAATGTTTTCTACTGAATTATTTTGTTCTCTGAATCGTACCAATTCATTAATTTAGCATTCTACAGGTGACACATAGCGGCGCTTTGCAATCCAGCGTGAAAATGATGGAACAAAATAAAATTGGAAAATATGCGCAAAGTAAATGGAAGCTTCTATGGCAGAAGAATAGTCACGTGATGAGTTTTGACGCTTGGTATTGTGTGACGATGTAAAAAAAGGTTTGGATATCGAAAGAGGAAAATAGATTGATGAAAATGCACAAAAAAAGGTGTATTGGCACAGTCACTTTTTAATAACTAATACAGCAGATTTTTTTTTGAGTTTCATAATTTCAAAGAATTTATACACAGCAAACGTTTCATACAGGTCACTTGCGAAATACATATTTAAAAAAAAGTATATCACTTTCATTGAAAATTCAAGTGCACGAAGATAATTTGTATACTACATAAGGATTGCAAAAAATTGTACTAGAATGATATACTAATAATTTGCAAAAAGCTCAACATATTTATACAGCACTAAATTACATGTTTTGAAAGTCCAAGAAATTAGAATAAGTAAATTTCCGTTGTTAAGTCTACATATGAATTACGTTAATACGAGAAAGTTTTATTTAATTTATCACTTCTATATCATACCAATGCATTAAAATTAAAGCAGAGAGAAAAGTAAAAAAAAATGAGAAAACTCAAAAATATTTATTCGGAGTCATAAAAATAATAAATAAAACCGAGTCGATAGTTATTTCAATAAATACTCACGTGCACGTCGTAACGATAGGAGATGTAAATGATAACGAGGAGAATTTTCGAAAATGTGACAATTTTCAAAAATTAAAATAACTCAATTAGCGAAACGTGTCGCTAAATTCATTTAACCTATTAAGACCTGACGCGATAACATAGATTACTCGACGTCGATGTTCATCCAAAAACACAAGACAAACAAAACAAAGGAAACTGCTACACGAACGTTTCAAATTTCCCGCCCGCTCAACGATTTTCGATACGACTTCAGCGGAAGGTTGGTCTGTCAGCTGTGTTTTATTTCCTCTAGCTTTTCTTGTTGCACAATCAAGGCTCACTGAAGGTGTCGTGATACTGTTGATTATCAATAAACAAAAAGCCTTTGTTTACACGAGATAACCGAGCCAGAGTAATCAATGTATCGGAGCAACGTTACACGAAACTCTTTCATCCCCTCGTATAATGATACAAATATTTTTTCTCTCCAAAATCTAATACAGGGGAACTTCGATAACTCGAGTCTCAAGGGAAACGAAATATGTTACGAGTTATCGCAGTTTCGACCAATCGGAGTTTTCAAGTTATAGAGGTGAAACATTCGAAAATTGGAAGATTCATAATCTTATAGAGGTTTTGATATATAGAAGTTGGAATTGTCAAAGTTCCACTGTATCGCCCTCAATTGTAATAATCCAGTCTTTTCCTTTTTTTTTGTTCGCGAAAATTACTTCCTGAAGTCCATCGCGAGAGATTCGCAATGTTATTGATTATATCGTTGTTGAAGGTACCAGAACAGTCGTATTTGAAAACATGAAAATAAGATCCAATTTATTCTCACGTCGCATTACAACGCAGCCAGATAAGGTAAATACACCCATGTAAGTGTATATGGCTTTTGTAGAGTCCTCTATGTAAAGGAATGGCAAGTTCTCAATGCAAATTAGAGATTCGGCCCAAGAACGGGACTGGCCTGGCCTGGTCTGGTCTTCTGATCCCGTATGATATATTCGTATACGGTCGAGAAATCCTCTAGGATTCACAGAGGGGAACTTATACATGGCATAGTGAAGACTTGAGGAAGAAGACTCCCGCCTTCTTGCAATTTATGCAAATTCAAAAAGCCATTACTAATCCTTGAACCTTGACCATCCTGTAACGCTTAGGTCATTCCAAAGGATTTATTTCCGAGTAGTATCCAGAAGTCCCCTCGATCGATATCGATCCGACCTTGATTTTGGATTATATCCCATTATTCGAAATTCTAATACATTTCGCTTTATTTCGCACATTTGTAAATCCTTTTGAACCAGACTATACATACCTTGACTCATAGTATGCTTTAGAAACCGAGGACTCATTTTTTATAAAAAAAGAGGATTGCATGGAGAAGTAAAATTTTTAAATAAAATATATCGAAGCTGATTGTCCTTTACACCTCTTACACTTAAGGAACGTCAAGGTTTTTTTTCCAAATTGCAAACGGCAATCATTTTACAGTCAGATTTTACCGAACTGTCATTTACTTGGTACATGTTGCTACTTATAATTAGTACGTGTACTACTTTGCATAGCATGGATTCAGCAAAGAAAATTATAACGAAGATTTATTAATCATACTGTAATGTATATTTTTGTATTCAAGTATACATCATAATGCAGTCGTAATAGAAAATAACGTACGAAAGTGTAAATTACAAGAATTCCATGGTTCTACAGATTTAGAGTTATTCGAAATTTTGCTGGTTGACCGTTTATAGTTTCTTCATTTTTAAATATAAATCACGTTACATATTATGATATATTTGTAATTTTAAAAAATTTTTATTATTTATATTATTTTCAAGGAAAATTGAAATATTTACATTATACATAGATATTGTATTCTACTTCATAGTCTGGTTCGTAATGAAAACGACTAGAGTACCCATAGTTACTCAGAAAACAAACCAATTAAACTCGTAATTCGTATTCTTCCTAAGTCCAATACAGCGGATACACATAATCTATGAATCTTTGTCTTGTCGCAGGAGTCTTCCTTTGTTTGCTAAGTTCTACTCGAGAAAATGTATACACATGATATACATGTACAGTACTAAGAATTTATCGTGGAAGATGGCGTGCGGGAGAGCTCTTAAATGAATATGTATGTCTGTTTACTATATTGACAGTAGAGCGAGGACGGTACAAGTAGCAGATACTTCCAGTTCGTGTTTTCTTGTACTTTGAGACCTCCCAACCATCCTCGGATCGAAGGTGTCACGAGGTACACGCGACCGTAGACCGGAAAGTCACTGACGTCCATTAATGATCCTATCGAATTTTTGACACTCTCATAACTTAAACTCCACGTTCTTTTATCCCTAGATCATGGGGAACTTTGTTATTGTGCCGTATCGTAAACTCTCGTCGTTACTGTTTCTTTACATTTGGCTTAAATGTCACACGCACGTGGGTCTCTCGGATTAGATGTTTTTGCCAGACAGGTCAAAGTTGGGTTAAAACATGAAGACAGGTGCGTGTCGAGGCAACCGATAAGCCACTGCCTTGAGAACGTATAAATATTTATGAGTGTGTTGCGTGTCTGTCTTCTCAGCGATATAAGTCGTGGCATTCATGATAAGACGGGTGCTGTTAAAAATTGGCATATCTCGAAGCGGAAGTTATGTTATACAAAAATTTGAACTGGAAGTAGCATTTTTCAGGCGCAGGTATACTTTTTACGTGATTAAGTGCATTTTTCATTTATAAATGTTACGTTTACATAAGATCCAAATGATAGTTGCTGTGAATCTGGATTAAAGTTTCTCATTATCATTCTTCTAGGTTGATAAATTACTTAAAGGGATATATATGTACAGTTGATTTACCCTTGATTCGTTATGAATATTTACGAGGATTTGAAAGAACTACTTTCTTATGTAGTACAAGGCCTAAGTCACATGCTTCCCAGATAACAGATAATGTACAAAAGTCGGCTTTAAAGCGTCTAATGGCACGGAAGTTAAGACATCTTAAAGATGACTTTTGGACATGTGTGTTGCCTGGATTAACACTTGTGATGCGCTATTGTTGAATACAATATACTTTTTTGCAACGCTGTACGGAAAGTATACAGTTTATGCATCAAAAAACAAGCACAAAATGCTCTATTCTTGATGATTCCCGCACACTCTGGACTCATCAAGAATCGGCCATTTCGTGCTTCTTTTTGATGCATATCCTGCGAACTTTCCATACATTGTTGCAAAAAATAGTATATGATACGCGTGCGGGTTTGTGATTCCTACTCGTGTGACGTTTGTCGGCCTAGCGAAGCGAGGGGCACTTCCTGACTCACTCGTCAGGAATCATCAACTTTCCGCCCTTGTATCATAATGTATTAATTATGGATTTCTATACTAGGCGGATTACTTGCATTTTATTAAAAGTACTTTTTCTTCATTGCATTACTTCCGAATGTAAAAATCCGCATGTAGAACAGATCCCTTGTATTTAAAAGTCAGTGATTATTATTTGTCCTGTTCGGATTGTTTAGAAAATGACGAAATTTACTTAAGCAAATATTGATCAACATAAAATATAAGAAACATGTCTAAAATATTTCGTATATTTCAAAAATTTAGAAATCCGGCTAAATACTGGTTGTGGTAAATTTGGCATCTATACATATAGCATCCATACAATGTATTTGTTGTATCAATACAAGTATCACATACACATCAAGTATCATATACACATTGTTGAAATATAGCCAGTCATGCGAGGATGTGCGGGATGCGAGGAAACAAAGAATTCACAAAAGCAAATTGACATGAGAAACGTCCGTACAGTTTATTTCGCCGAACGAGACTGAGGGTCTCCGGTCTACTTGCTGTACAGGTGTCATTAACTTGTGTGTGTGTGTGTGTGTTTATGTGTGTTTAGACTGTTGTGTGTGTATGTGAGAATGCGTGAGTATGTCGTCGTTGATGTTTAATATATTTCAATACACATGCTACAGTGCCGTATGTTAAAAAGTTGTATTAATATTTTTTATTTTTTATTACAACCAATGAACAACCGCTATGGTTATTGTATATCTCTTTAAGGACCTTCGACCGAACCACCTTAAAGGTTCATCTCTATCAGAAAATCAATAAATGTTTGATTATATAAAAAACTAATATTTTTTCCCTCTTTTTCATCTTTGAAAAATATTACAGAAATATATACGCTATTATTCACATTTATGCATTACCAAAATATTCTGTGCTATAACACCGTAAGCATGCTTTTATAATATAAAATATACCGAATGTTTGTCCAAACTGACGCTTATACGAAACTTTACGATATTCTAGTAAGTGAGCTTTAAAGTCACATTGTACACATGTCAATCTTAATATCATTCTTGCATCACACTTTATCCGTCTATAGTCTTGTGTCTCTCAGCTTTAATAATGCCTATGCAGCTGCAGTCGGATCCTTCGAGACTTTTCTGCTTTCTTTCTTTCTTATTTTCAATAGTGCTCTATTTCATCGTTTTGTCCACTCTTCGCTAACTCATTTACTTTTTTCTCCCTTAGGTCGTATTACCGTCATCAGCATTTTCCCTAAAGATCGATTACGCTTTTCTCGTTTCCGTCGAAATTTCATTCATATTCGAATTTTTGTCACAGATATTAATTATACTGTGTATATATTGATTGTCGAAAATCAGGAGACATCGTTCTCTTCTTTATTGTCAATATTTTTTGTATTCAATTCGTGATCTTTGAAGCTTTGATACCAGCAGAGGATAGCAACTTTAAAATTATAAAGGATGAGTCGAGGAAATGTGGATTATAAATTTTCAATTTTCACGAACAGAAGTTTAGCAATGCGAAATTAATGTTCATCGTGAGAATAGTAAATAGTGAGAAGTAGTGGATCTTGGGAAATCAGGATTTTCGTAATGGGTAAATAGATTAATGGTTATTATTATTGTTGCTGGTGTAATCATTTGACAGTATGCATATTGTACATATATTTACCCATACGTTTGAGGTTTTAATGGGTTTGAAAATTTGCATTTACATTTTTTTTTCATTGTCATTTTTTTTCAATGTATTGTATTTGCTAGCTGGTTCAAAACCATATTTACTATTAATAAAGCTTTAATAAAATAGTCCCCGGTGCTCAGGCAATTGGCTGCGTTCACTATTCGCAGAAATTCACGGGAATCTTGAAGTGGCATATCAATTTTGAACTGTCTTGATATAATTTTCCATTTAGTAAGTTCTTGGCTGTCGTGGCAATGTAAGTAAGTCTTGTGCAAAATGAATGGCAGAGGAGAAATTCTCAGTATCAGTGTCGCTCATAATGCAATGTTATACATTCATGTATATACATATGTATAAATTGATTTTTCTTTATCATCGATTGGACGAATAAACTGTTTTTATTTTTTTGATATAATTGTAGAGTACCACTAATAGCAATGCTTGGGATAAATGTTTCGGAATTACTTCGATAGGTATTTGTACTACTGGGAGTTAGCTCTTCGACTGAAAAAATTAATGAATTCTTGTATATTAAGTTCAACACGTTAACCCAAGCAGAAATTTTAGATCTTCTCAAAATAGTCTTACGTAAGTCGTGCGAACTCGATCGATTATTTTTTTGTCTTAATTAAACACAAGTCTACACCTTTTATTGGCTCAAGCATCTCCTGGAAATGTTATTCGAAAGTTAAAGTATGAGACAAGTCTTGATACCATCGCAGTTTTATACCGCTAATGATCTTAATTCTTCCCGAAAGTCAACATTAAAAAAAAAAGTATTTTACTTGGCAGATATATTCGAGAAATGCTTAGAATGGATGAAACCTCTTGAGGTTATTTTTTAAGCTACACAAATGACTACTCAGTATGGTTTTTTAATAAGTTTTTTAGGTTACCGAATGGAAATATAATGTTTAAACATCAATATTTAAGATTTCGGATAAAAATTAATTTACATACTAATCCGATTACTGTTTAAATTGCTGTCCGGCATATTGAATTGAAAAAATTCGTCTACGGATTCGAAATCACTGATTGTGTAATATCTTTTTAATTTAGGACATTTATATTTTAGAACAATTATATTTTCAGACAGTAAGGTAGTTCATATTACAAGCTTTGATCGACCATAACTTTGCAATTATTTAACAAAAGTTTCAATGCAATGCACACGCATAGTTTCAATTTTAATTTTAAATTTTTGTTTAAATTTGTCACTTATCGGGCCACAAAATTATGACGAAAGAAGTCACCTCGAGTGTACTCGGTGCGAACCTTATGAAAGACACTCGGTTACTTCGAGTATACTCGAGGTAATGCTCAAGGGAAGTTAAACATAGTATAGGCCCATACTCACACCTCGCCTTTTAGACCACTTTTAATCCTTTGAGTATTACATACGCATATATATGTATGCGTGTGCTTCGTAAAAGAAAGATGATTAAACTATTTCAATTTACATAAACTGCGGTCACTTAAGGTTTTCGAGTTTACTGAATCCGAATTTGATCTCAGATTTTGCAAATTCAAAATGCAATACGACGAACCAACATTATAAAAATTGTTCTATTTTTATGAAGCTTGGTATTTTAAGGTTTTCGAGGTGCTCGAATACTACGTTTAATAAATAAATAATCGTTTATAGCTGACGAATGCATATTATTTGCAATAAAAACACAATCCAACAATTTTTGGTTCGACATATTCGATCAACAAGCAATGGCAGACATTATTCCGTCGAATTCTAATCTTTGATTGGTGGTTTGGTCGCTTTTAGTTAACCTTGATCTGAAAAGCGAAGCGTAGATATGGGTCATAGCTCTATAACATATGTTAACATACATAGGGATGGCGAGGGGGGGACTAGGTTCGATAATTATCTAAAATTGCTATTTTAAAACACATGAAAAATGTGTGTATCTCGTCAACATTGCTATAAAATCATTTAAAAGTTTTTAAACGAAAGTTGTAATTCTTGCGAAATTTCGTTGCATGTCCGCAATTATTTGACCTGAAAAAATGCATTTTAAAATTGAGTTTCGCATTCCGTTAACCACTTTAGGAATTAGAGTAAATCTTCATCCCGACATCATTCTACGTTCTCGCGATGGTTCGCTTGACCTCTTTATGACCTTTTCGTGACCTTTGGATCCATCTTCGTTGTCAACCTTGCAATGAACCTCGTAAGCATCCACTCGTTGCTCGCGCAGTGATACAATTACGGTCTCTCAGAGCATAAAAAAACTCCTTAGACTCTTATATGTGTATCTACTAACAGGCAATTTCATAAGGAACAGTTCGTAACGTCGAGACCCCTCTTATCAAAATCAGCTGCATATTCAAAAATATTTTCTCATTAACACCTGGTAATTAAATAAAAAATATTAAATATATGAATTCCTGTAATCCTTCAAAGGTTAATTAATAAAAAATGTGTCCTAATCTCCTGCAAGTGAAACACGATGCCTATTTATTATAGTAATATTAATTTTACGTAATCATTCAAAATGAATTGTGGATCCTCCTAGTGGTTGCATTGTTGAATAATAATTGAGTAAGAATATTTTTTATTTTATATTCTGTGACTTGATTTTACTTTACACAATGACTGACTTCAATATTTATCCCATATTGCATGTACATACGTTTTTTAAGGGTCGACATTCGTGGAAATTTGAGATTCAATAAAAGAGCGTCGCGTGACACAAATTCCAACGTGTTCAAGTTTCGTAAATACGAGACATATCGGAAGTAGAGGTAAACATGAATTCGCAACGTGAGAAAGGCATTAACGAAATCAGGAAAATCGAATAAAAAGTTAAAGGGATGAAGAAATCCGAGCCAAACAGGTCGACCTCGACGATTCTTGGAGTGGTTCCAACTTGCTACGAAATTTTTAGCGGAAAAGCGAATTTCAATGAGGCAAGTTTTTTTCCATTGCAACATTTCCTGGAGTCGATCCAGTGATAGGAATTCGATGTTCACATTTTTTTTCTTCGTTCCCTTCTATGTTTAGTATGTCGACGTGTCTGCTTCATGCAAGATTTTTAGTAAATAATTATTGTACTAAAAATAATTTTTTGTAACAAATGCCCAAACAATACCCCGTAATGCGTTGCCAGAGGGCACCTCAAGAAGGTCCTGTCGATGCATGCTAGTCAACTGATCAACTATCGAATCTATTCCATAAATCGATTAAAACAAACCGGACTTTCTACGAAATTTTTATTCACATTAAGTATAGAAATTTGTTTTTAGGTGTTTATCTTTGTGAAATTAGCTCATTTGTACAAAAATATATAAAAATCATACTTTTGTTTAACTTTTATTTATTTCTTTATTGGGTCTCTCCCGGTGAATTGATGGAGATCCGGCAATTTGATTTTCAATTACTCTTTGAAACACCCGGTAAGGTCATTTTTTATGGTATGTATCGAATCCTAAAGATTTCACGAATCCGTAGTATACCATTTTTTGCTTCAAACTTCACTTTAAATACGTTAGTTTCTCATCCAAAGTCGAAATTCAATCTCTGTGACCTTTGAGTCCATATATAAAGTTTCGTTTTTTATATTACTTTTCTTAACACTTTTGTTGGTGACCGACCTTCAAGTTTTGCAATTGAGTTCAGAATTGTTTAATTTATTATCTATAAAAGTTTTAGACATGAAAATTCAAGTAGTTAGTTTCGACAGGACCTCCTTAAAATATTATTTTTTGGACAAATGACTATAAAATTACCTAAAAATGTATTATAGTGACGTCATAGGCATCTAATATATTATCAAGGAAGGGGAAACGTATTAAAAAATATTTTGAGGGAGGTTAATAGTTACAAAAGCTGTTGTATCTAGCTATTAACGAATGAGTATAAGAATCGTGTGATTGGTGCACTGCCTAACAGCTCGTGTACCAGACTTCACATTCGTGTATTATACTCATATGTACTAGATAGATCAAATATTATTTTGACGTATTTCAATTAATATTTTAACTTTGCATTTAATTTTGGCAACTTCACTCAATGAAATATGACAATAGCAATAACGATCGATCGATAATGATAATAATCAATTATTCTTACCTTACACGTTTCCTCTGTTATTATTGGACAAAATATGTTTTTATCGTCGCTTTACCTTAAAAAATGTACCTAGATTGAAGAAGGTGAAGCATTATATCAATTTATTATTATTATTTTTCGTCAACAAACTGAACTTACTCGGAGCTGTTTTCTAACTATGAATCGGATTTATCTTTTTGATTAAAAATAAAAAAAAGTTATTTCGCAACTTTTTTTCCATCTGTTATTGTTACCGTCAGAGATGGAATTTCACTGTATTCGACGAGGAAGCCAAAAGCTGGCAAAACTTAGTTGTTGATAAACAGCGTTTCCACGTACACAATATATCTACTCAGAATATTTCTGGGCTCAAAGTTCGTAAAAGTCGTCAAAGTGGTGACAGCACAGCCCATGAAAAGTTTTACGGCCAACCAGCCCTGGTCCGGCGACATTGCGGATATTGCAAGAGCTGATGTAGTGACTTGTACCGGTATAGTATCAAATCTATACATCATTTG